TCAAATCAATCAGGAGACAGCAAGGACACAATCTGAAAAAGTGGGAAGTCCCTAGTCTAGCTAGTATAACTACCAGTCCTTCAGCTGTCCCTCTGTAGGGTGATCTTCAGGTCTCCTTCATAAGGCTGCACTATAGAGACCTTGCATATTCCAACGTCACACACCACCCAATCAGGAGACCCTCTCTCTGAGATCTTAATTGCCCTCTCTCTTAGATGGCTGATGATCAGGTAGGGACTTAGGTGTTTGCCTGTCTGCATGGTTGCCACAAAGAACCCATGTTGCATTGGTAGGAGTAGGTAAGAACGCGACCTATACCCTACACCCTGTGCCCTATACCATGCCTTGCACAAAGCTGCTTATGCATAAAAATCTGATGATACTCTCAGTGGGAGTTGTACATTCCTTTGGAATGACAACAACAGTTTTGTGGTTGCACCTGAAGGTGAAATTGTATGCCCATTTTATAGGGGGGCGGGATATGGGTTAGGAGGTTCAGAAATGTGTAGCAGCTAAGCTGAGTCAACTATTTTCTTTAGGACTGAAGGCATATCAGTATCGTATCTATTAAACAAAGGGATATATTATATTGATGTGTTCAATCATTCTTTTTGCACTTTATGTTCTTTTAAAACTATGTCTGGCTCTTTCCACAGCTATCGGCTTCAGATATAATGGGCTCTCTGTGATCTACCTCCTCTTTCTTCTGCTTCTGCCACTGTGCCCCAAACCTACCACGGTCACAGTGAAAGGTAGGTGAAGCCCTACATGTCATGAAGTCTCATTCTGAAAGTGGTACTGTCAGCGTTTAAGTCCCTGACAGTACCAATCCTGTTAAATGGCACATGCATTTTTTTAAAAAAAATCCCAGGTGGGTAACCATGTGAATCTGTAGCAGCGAAATAAGACAAAAGTCTAGTGGCACTATTGAGACTAACAGGATTTATTCCCACACAGGTTTTTGTAAATAGGGATACTACTTACCTGCTGGGAATGGGGGAACTTCTGTTCCACCCCTATTACCTACCACCACTACAGTGAGAAGTGGGAAAAATGGTGTCCCACAACATCATGACATCATTTCCGACTGTGTAACTGGATGTGATATCACTGCATTGTGGGACGCTCTAGGATTCCCTGAAACTCTATGATTTTTTGCCATAGAATTTAAGGAAAATCCTAGAGCATCCTGTGAGATGGTGACCTTTCAGTTACACTGCTGAAAATGATGGTGTGATATCATGGAACACTTTTTTATTGAGTCTCCATGCCTCAGTCTTCCAGGTGTTCCCAGGCAAGGCCTGGCAACCTTATTTGTGAGTCAGACCTGACTTTATCAAATGCCTGAAGAGTACGTTCATTAGGCCATTGCATTTATATTAACAACAGAAAGGCTCTGAGTGAATTGATTACTCTTTGAATTGGATCTTGCTTTAAAGTGGCCTAAATCTCCACTCCCTCGCTTTTTTCTTATGAAGGTCAAAGTGAGGTTGTTGTTCTGTCTCTCTGTACTACTTTGAATCTCCTTTGAGGAGGGTAGGTTACAAATGTGAGGAATTCATTTAGGCCCGGGCTTCTCAAATTATAGACTTTTGTCCTTCACTTTTTATTAACAAGGCATATTGACATACTTGAGAATAAAACCTTCACTGTTTTGTTTTTCAGGGTCTACCAGGCTTCTGCTTTGGGGAATCACCTATACTAGCTTCGCTTTCATTGTGGTACAAGTGGCCTTTCAAATTGCTTTCCACTACCACCCACCTGATGGTAACTTCGGTTCAATATCTAACTTTTAACCATTTAACCTAGAGTCAAAAATGTGTTGTCACCATAGGGTTGCAGACCTCCAGATGGGGCCTGGAGTTCTCCCAGAATTCTAATATATCCAGACTACATAGAGCTCATTCCCTGGCATCTTCAGAGGGTGGGCACTATGGCCTCACATTCCTACTGAGCTCCCTTCCTTTCCCAAACTCCACCCTGCTCAGGCTCCACCTCCAGATCTCTAGGAACTTCCCAGCCCAGAGTTGGCAACCTCAATCCTTCCTCTTCCTTCCTTTACAATTAAACAAGTAGGCAACCAAACCCACAAACCAAGTGTGGGCGTCTGTTCAAGGTCTATCAGTGCCCTTTGCAAAAAATGGGTGTAAGAATTGCCTTTGCATCTACGTTTGGATCGGAAAATGAATATTAGTTTCCCCTATCTCAATCTGCAAGGCAGATATACTGCATTACAGTGGATTTTGTCTCCCTCCTTGACACTGACAGAGCAATTTCAGCTGCTGTTTGAACTGGAAATGCAGAACTGTGCCCTGAACATCCATGCAAAATTTTACTTTGATATCTTTGTGTTTCAGAGCAGTGTCACGCCATGCAGAGGATAGGGATGCCAGCTCTGGATTGGGGAATTCCTGGATATTTAGGGGTACAGCCTGTGGAGGGTGGGGTTTGGGGAGGGGAGGGACCTCAGCAGGGTATAATGCCATACAGTCCGCCCTCTGAAGCCACCTTTTTCTTCACAGGAACTGATCTCTGTAGTCTGGAGATCAGTTATAATTCTGGGAAATCTCCAGGTCACACCTGGAGGTTGGCAATCGTATAAACTAAACCCAATGCTTCACTTGGCTAAACTGGTTACCAGAAACTGCCTTGCTCTTGTCATTATATCTGTTTTCTTACCTACATCAACATGCTAGACCTTGTGTTCTGTTCAAATTCAAATTCTGGTTTTGGGGCAGAGCAAGGGATAGAACCCAGCATGATGAAAAGGAAGGTTGCCAGCAAAGATGCAAGACTGCATGTTCAGAGAGAGAGACAGACAGAGAGAGACAGAGAGAGATAACATCTATGTTTCTTTTTCATAGATTCCTTATGGGAGAAAGTGCTGTGCCATTTTGGTTTCCTAAGGTGAGATACCAGTTTTAATTTTGTTGTTTCATACAGTTTTGTTTTTTTCTAAAGCAAAAGAATCCTGAAAACCTCACCGTTGCCCAACTGAACACATCCAAATTGACTCCTGAAACTCGTTACTCAGGACCGTAAAAGGGAAATAGGGCTGGACCCACAAATTGTTGGATATTGCACTACAGCTGTGCTCTGGCAGACATTCACCAATGGATTCTCCCGTGTGGACAAGGCAATCCAGCTACATATGTTTGTTACAATGCACTGAGGAGGAGATTGGATTTGTACTCCGCCCTTCACTCAGAGTCTCAGAGCGGCTTACAAACTCCTTTCCCTTCCCCTCCCCACAACAGACACCCCATGAGGTAGGTGGGGCTGAGAGAGCTCTCTCAATTACTGCCCTTTCAAGGACAGCTCTTGTCAGAACTATGGCTTGCCCAAGGTCATCCAGCAGTTGCAAGTGGAGGAGTGGGGAATCAAACCCGGTTCTCCCAGATTAGAGTCCGCGCACTTAACCACTACACCAAACTGGCTAGAGCAGTATGCAATGAAGGCTGGATGGAGTCTTACTCTCAGACATTCTGCTACCACCCTTCCTCCCTCTGACTCTCCTGGACTATTTGGCAGGCCACAGCCATCTCCTGTCCTGTTACACCTGCTGTCACAACTTGGACTTGCTTTCTTGAATAGGCCTTTACTCCTGAGCAGGCTATGTTCATGCCCCCTACTTCTCTAAGAGGTGAGGTGTTCCAGGGGCAGTGCTTGCCCTATTCAGTTCCCATTGGAGGAGAGAGTGCTGGAGAATTATGGCCCTTTTTTGTAGTTTTGTTTTATTTGCAAATATATAATTTTATTTGCAAATATATTTAAATATATTTATATCTGCAAATATATTTAAAATATTTATATTTACAAATATATTTATATTCACAAACATATTTACAAATATATACAAGTGGGGGCAAAGAGGCACTCTTAAGAGGCCACACCATGAAAGAGATATTTACAAATATATTTATATTTACAAGTATATTTATATTCACAAACATATATACAAATATATACAAGTGGGGGCAAAGAGGCACTCTTACAGGGTGGCAGATGTGCTACCCCACACCATGTAAGAGAGAGAGAAGGAAGGGGGGGAGATCGTACACCTAGAGTCATCAAGCTCCAGATGGTGGCTGGATTACGACTGATCTTCAGGCAACAGAGATCAGTTCACCTGGACAAAATGGCCGCTTCGGACAGTGGGCTGTATGGCATTCTATCCCACAGAAGTCCATCCCCTCCCCAAACCCTGACCTCCTCAGGCTCCAACCCCCAAATTTCCAGGTATTTCCCAACCTGGAGCTGGCAACCCCACTACACCTCAAGGGCTTCAGGCAACTGACTATTCTATTTCTCTCTTTCTCTCTTTCTCTCTTTCTCTCTTTCTCTTTCTCTCTCTCTCTCTCTCTCTCTCTCTCTCTCTCTCTCTCTCTCTCTCTCTCCCACACACACACACACACACACACACACACACACACACGCACACACACACACACCTGTCCCCTCCTTTTAGCTTGGAGGTGCTCACCTTTCCCAAGCCCTGACGGGCAATGGGCCAGAGCCATTTCCAGACACCGAAGGCTCGCTGTGGAGATATCTACAATCGTAACAACACATTATGATTCCTTTTGTTCTGCAGAACAGCCCACCATTAGACAGTAATCAGAATCCAGGGGAATTTAACAGTAGATGGCTCCAGTCCTTTCAGGTTAATTAGAGTGTGGACAACACTCTAGTCCAAAATAGTCACACGGGAGTTCATTGATTTCAGTGAAATTTCTTTCTTTGTTGACGGCTTTTGGGCACATGAAGACTGTCGGTCCATCTTGCTCAGCACTACCTTACTTGGAGTGACAGTCCCTCCTAAGATACAGGAAGATGTGGCAGAATTCCTGGGGCTGGACACGGCCCCAAAGACTTTTTCCCGCCCAAATTTTCCACCTGCCCCACTACACCAAGGTTCCCAGTGAGAATTTAAAAAGGTTTGAGGGGAGAGAGTCTGGGCCTGGGTATAAACCCACCTAAGACTGGATTGATGAAGGACGATGAGGTACAGTGACAGGAATAACATGGTTTGCTTTTGAAAGTGAACAAGAATGAAATGTATTCAGGAAGACACATAATTGAGGTAAGTATAACAAAGTTTGAGTCCAGTGGCACCTAGTTTAATTCTGGGTATTAGCTTTGGTCTTAAAGGCGCTGCTGGATTCAAACTTTGTTCTGTTGCTTCAGACCAACATGGCTACCCACCTGAATCTGTCTTCTTTGAGGTAAATATTAACACTTAAAAGAGTTGTGAGGTGTTAGGATTCAAACCTTTCGTTCCTTAGGAAAAACATCTCCCCAGGCAGGTTTATAACATAAATATAGTGGGAACTTAGTTGCTACTTAAGACTCACACTAGACCCAGCAAACCCTGCCAGCATACTGGAACACCTCAGTTACCAAAACAAGGGAACAGAGTGGGCAGCCTATTGCTCTCCTGTTGCTTCAGCTGCAATGGAGTAGGCAGACCTGGAGCAGTCTGGCCATTTAACTTACAAGGAAATTTCCTGGTGGGCCACTGCCCTAGAGGGCTGCTTGTGACCAAGCCCTGGCTACTCTGACAGTGCCTCAGGGGTATGGCTGCCAAGCCCTTGGTGAAGAAAGGATATTTCCTGCCCCAAGTTCCTGCTGCCTACCCTCCCAAGGAGTGTTAGGGGATGAATTTTTTTAAAAAACAGTAGCATCGCCAGTATGACAATGTCACTTCTGGGGAAAATCTGGAAGTGATGGCTGGTAGCTCTGGGAACCATGGTCAGCTCTATGGTTTTACACAGAGTTTCTGGCAATTCCTAGAGCTACCTGCCATCACTTCCAGGGATTCCCGGAAGTGACATCATCAAGCTGCCAGTGCTACCCTCCCACCATGTCACCGTGCCTAACTCTCCCACCAGCTGCCATGCTCAGCCTGCCAACCCTACTCAGGAGTCATTTTACCCAGACCATTCATTGATGATCTATGTCAGCTCACCAGTTGTTTCCTCCTGCACTGTTGCTATTTTGTGGGATGAAGCAAAAAGTGAGCCAGTGTCTGTTGTCGGTGCCACTAAGTTCAATGGCCCCTGAAGTGCTGACTCACATTACCACAGAGGTTGCACCACTAGGCTTGTTCCAGGACCGTTTTCACTTCCCAGTCCACTCCTAAAGCAGACACTTGTGTTGCTATAGCTACAGCAGCATCCAGTACAGGGCACATAGGACAAGACCAGAGGCCTGTGCTCTAGTTGACTGTAAAATCTTAAGCCCTCAAGATGCTAACATGTCTTCTCTTCTGTAGATTTAGCGGTCTCGGTGTCGGAAACATCATACGACTTTTGGCTCCTGACATTGGAATATTCCTTACCGGCCTCATAGTCACATGGCTTTGTAAAAGGATGGTGAGGCTCCACAATCAGAAAGCCCAGCTTCATTCTGGAATCCAAAATCTGTCTGTCTGTGATGATGAAAAGGAGGAGGAAGAGGAAACGGTAGTGATGTAGACATGTAATTGGTTTCTTTGCCGCAAGTGATGGCTTTCTAACGCTTGATTTTGCACGAGAATCGGAAAGGGGAAAGAATGTGTGCTTTCCTTTGCCTATTACAACTAGACATGCAGTGGGAATGCTTGTTACCTGTTGTGAGCCACAATGGGAAAGCATGTGCAGTATGGCGTTGGGGGTCTGGGATTCTCCTGGAGTTACAGCTGATCTCCAGACTACACAGATCATTTCCCCTAGAGAAAATGGCTCCTTGGGAGGGTGGACTCTTTGGCATTATACCCCATTGAAGACCCTCCACTCCCTAAACTCCTCCCTTCTCAGGTTTCATCAACACCAAAATCTCCACGAATTTTCCAACCCAGACCTGTCAGCCCAAAGGTGCAAATACTTACTTGTGAATTAGTAGCATTGGCCTCTCGGCTCTTATACTGGTTTAGTTATCATGGCTTCCTTCAAAGTATTTTGAGGACTGTTTGGTTAAGGGATTGATAATTCTGTTAGTAAGGAGTTTGTAAGCCGCTCTGAGACTCCGAGTGAAGGGTGGGGTATAAATCCAGTCTTCTTCTTCTTCTTCTTCTTCTCCTTCTTGGGCCTGTTGGGCTCTACCTGTGAGCCATTTCCCCCCCAAGATTAAAACAAAACACCTTTAGTAGAAAACATGGAAGCCACATGCAGGGCATGGGAAAGAAACACACATTTATTGTGCACATAGGGTTGCCAGCCTCCAGGTGGGGCCTGGAGATCTCCCGCTTTCACAACTGATCTGCGGCTGACAGATATGAGCTCCCCTGGAGAAAATGGCTGCTTTGAATGGTGGACTTTATGGCATTGTACCTTCCTGAGGCCTCTCCCCTCCCCAAACCCCTCCTCTCCTGGATCCACCCCCAAAGACTCCAGGTATTTTCCCGCGCAGACCTGGGAACCCCGTGTGCATCATCAATAGCAGTGATGGGCTAAATCCCTCAGAGCTGTTTGGCTAATGGAGGTGCCATGCCCCAACACGAGAGGTTCTTCTCTTAATGGAAGAGCCTCGTGCATCAAGGGAAAGGTACCCTGAGCTGGAGGAGAGACACCGCCATTAGCAGAACAGATCTACCCAGCAGTAATGTGGAAACGATTAACCCCATTGGCCCATTGCAATATTCCTCTTCAGCAATACATCTGAAATCCCTCACCATAATATAATACTTACTGCATTGTGTTGCAAACCACATATTATCCATACCTTCTGTCAAAATGCAAGCAGACTGTCCGCAGCATGGATATTTGTTTTGGAATCCATGGAGCTTGATTTTATGCATGTTTAGGCGTAGGCGCCAAGTATAATTTCTCTGGGCCTGCTACAGATTTGCAACTTGGGGCACCCCAGTCCTGTTCACTACACAGAGGCAGGCCATGGCAAACTACCTCTGTTCATCTCCTGCCTCGACAACCCGACAGGGCTGCCGTAAGTCAGCTGTGACTTGATGGCTTTCCATCAGTGATTGTGAACAGGCCTGCTGTCTCAAAGACAATAAATGGCACTGACCAGAACAAAACCAGGCTCACCCGATCTCGTCAAGATCTTGGGTGCTAAGCAGGGTTGGCCCTGGTCAGTATTGGGATGGGAGACCACCAAGGAATTCCAGGGTTGCTACGCAGAGGCAGACAATTGCAAACCACCTTTGAACATCTCTTGCATTGGAAACTCTACGGGGGTCGCAATAAGTGGGCTAGAAATTGAAGGCAAAACAACAACAAAAAACCCTTTGAGAGCTCAGAAGAAATACCCTTGGTGGTCTTGATAGACCAGCATTCAAAATATAGCCATAGGCTCTGAACCAGAAGCACTCATCCATGCTTAGCGTGACTGATTCCACAACATTCCTTCCTTAGAAGAAGTCAGACTTCACTGTAAATGTACAATAACGAAAAAATGTTTTCCTTCTTTTTTGGCTCTTACTTTAAACAGGACAAGATCACTGGAACAAATTTTCACACGCTAGCCTGTCCACGGATTTTATTTAGGATATTGATAAAATGACCCAATGCGTTGTGACCAATTTCCCCCCAATAAGGTCTTTGTTGTGAATACCCTATTTGGGAAACTGCATGTTTCCCTTAATGCAAGCGGAACAGAATCCAATGTGCCGTCAGCTTGGCTTGGCTCTTCATCATCATGAGGTCTGACCCTTGTGTAATTGGTTCCATGTTCACAGGAATCTGAAGCAGAAACCGAAGATACAGATGATGAAGGGACGGACAATTTACTGGAGAAGGAGCATCGGGGAAGAGATCCTGATGCTGGCCAATCAGGATTATTCCAGAAAATCACACTTTTCCTAGTAGGCTTGAAGATCCTCTTTGGAGGGGTGCGAGATACTGCTAGCAAGGTGGTGGTCACGGTTCTATTAGGCTTAGCAGGTAAAAAAAAAGGTCTTCCAGGACTGGTTCACACATGTATATTTGTGACTTGAGGACTAAAGGGTTAGTTTGCCTGTGTGAATGAGTCATATAGCACTAACATCACAGAACTTTCATTATCTTCTCAAATGGCTTGTTTTTATGTGAAATCAGTTCACATGCAGCTGCTGGGTTGCTGGGTGGCCTTGGGCAAGCGACGGTTCTCTCAGAGCTGTTCTTCCAAGAGCAGTTCTCTCAGAGCTCTCTCAGCCCCACCTACCTCACAGGGTGTCTCTTTTGTGGGGAGGGGAGGGGAAGGGAAAGGGGACTGTAAGTAGCTCTGAAACTCCAAGTAAAGGGCTGGGTAATAAATCCAACCCTCCTCCTCCTCCTCCTCCTCCAGTTGCCAGGGCCATTGGGCTGTTCCACATGTACACGCATATACATTATCTATTCATTATCAAGTTTTTATCCTATTTTTTTCTTCAAGGAGCTCAGGGTGTCATCCACGGTTGTACCCTTTTTTATTTTTTATGTTCACAGCTCCTTTGTGAAGGAGAATGTGCTGAGAGTGAATGATTAGCTCAGGGGTCCCCAGTGTGATGCCTTTGGGTATCAGAGTGCCCACAGAGTGTTTTTAGAAAATGGACCGGGCCAAGGGGCTGTTGCCCAGCAAGGCTTCTGATTGGCCATTGGAGATATGATTGGCTTTGCAGATTTTTAAAAAATGTTGCTTTGGCACCCAGCTTCCACCACAGCACAAGGATTTTCACTGTGTGACTAAAGGTAAACTGTGGCAGCCATTTTATGGCTGGCTCTGCCTCGTGAAGCAGCTATATTGTGGCAGCCATTTTGTGTCTACACCCACCATGCTGTGTTAGAACTCCAAAAGTGCTCGCATGCTCAAAAAGGTTGGGGACCCCTGAACTAGCCCAAGGCCAGCCAGTTGAATTTCATGGCAAACTGGGATTTGAACTCTGTCACATGAAATTGCCTTTGAGTCAGATAGAGTTGCCGGGCTGGGATGGAAAATACCTAGATAATTTGGAGGTGGAGCCAGGAGAGGGCGGGGTTAGGGGAGGGGAGGGGCCTCAGCATAGTACAATGCCATAGAGTCCACCCTTCAAAGCAGCCATTTTCTCCAGGGGACCTGATCTCTGTCAGCTGGAGATCCATTGTAAAAGTGGGAGATCTCCAGGCCCCACCTGGAGTCTGGCAACCCTAGAGTCAGCAACAAACAGCACAGCTCACAGTAGGAAATAGCAAAGAAAAACAGAAAACAACTGTGAGCTGAATATACCGTCAAAAATGTATACAAAAGGAGACTTCAATGAAGTGAAATGCATATATAGTCATATAATCCCTCATAGGAAAATACAGAAACCAGCAAGATCCATGATAGGAAAATACAGACTCCAAAGTAAATACCCAACACTTTTCCTAGGTAGTTTTCAGTGTTTCAGACTACTGGTCCTTCCTCAGGAACAAAGAACATTGGGAGTCTCATTCCATTTCCATGCCTCCATGTTTTGGTCCTGTTACATAGAAGCAGCCTTTACAGGTGCTGACTAGAGTTTAGGAGACCTTACCCAATGTTGTAAGAAACAGAATAGTATTATCCTATAAGGAAATGGAATGAGACTTTGGACTCTGTATTTTCCTATCATGGATCTTGTTGGCTTCTGTATTTTCCTATGAGGGATTATATGACCATATATGCATTTTACTTCATTGGTCTCCTTTTGTATACATTTTTTGTGGAATATTCAGCTCACAGTTGTTTTCTGTGTTTTTTTTTGCTAACCCTAGAGTCAGACCATTGGCCTGTCAGGTTTGGTATTGTTTATCCTGACTGGCAGTGACTCTCCAGGCTGCTAGGTAGAGGTCTCTCTCGTCATCTGCTTCTAACTAGATCAGGGGGCCCCAGTGTTTATGAATCTGTGCACACCTTTGGGAATTCTAACAAAGCGTGGTGGGTGCAGTAACAAAATGGTTGCCACAAAATGGCTGCCACAGGAGGTGGAACCAGCCACAAAATGATAGCTTACCTTCAGTCACACAGTGAAGATCCTTGTGCTGTGGTGGCAGCTGCTGCCAAAGCAACATCTGAATAACATCCAGATCTGAATAACATCCAGATCGCAAGATCTCATAGTCCCGCTGTACACTGCATTGGTCAGGCAACACCTGGAGTATTGTGTGTAGTTCTGCAGGCCTCTCTTCAAAAAGGATGTGGGCAGAATGGAGCAGGTGCAGAGGAGAGCGACAACGATGATTGGGGGCCTGGAGACCAAGCCCTATGGGGAAAAACTGAGGGTCTTGAGAATATTCAGTCTGGAGAAGAGGAGGTGGAGGGGGGACATGATGGCTCTCTTGAAGTATTTGAAGGGCTGTCACTTAGAGGAGGGCAGGGAGCTGTTCCTGCTGGCAGCAGAGGAGAGGACTCACAATAATGGCTTTAAATTAAGGGTGGGAAGGTACTGGCTGGATCTTAGGAAAAACTTTATTACAGTAAGAGTTATGCAACAGTGGAATCAGCTGCCAAGGGAGGTGGTGAGCTCCCCCTCCCTGGCAGTCTTTAAGCAGCGGCTGAACAAACACTTGTCAGGGATACTCTCTAGGCTGATCCTCCATTGAGCAGGGGGTTGGACTAGATGGCCTGTAGGACCCTTCCAACTCTGTGATTCTATGGCTGATTCTGCATTGGCTTTTCCCTCCGTTGTTTTATGAAACCCAGGTTGGAACAGAAATTCCCCTCTGCATTGCATGCTGCTTTCACTTCCTTTGATCACTGGATTTTATGGTAGCCTCCACACTCCATGCCACTTTCGCTTTCTTTGAACATCGGGTTTTATTGTACCTTACGGCCATTTTATGGCTTTTCAGGGGTGACTTTGCAGTCAGTACGGCATTGCCCCGAGGTATTCGAATGTGGTTTTGAGTGGCATTTTTTCCTCCCCGTTGAGAAAATGTGGAGTGAATGCTAGATGCAGAATCGCTCTGAGATTCTGTGATTTTAAAAAATCTGCACAGCCAATCAAATCTCCAACAATGAGAAGACTTGCTGGACAAAAGCCCTACCTGTCCCTGTACTCTTCCTAAAAACTCTTGGTGGGCACCAGAAAAGGTCTCAGCAGGTGCCTTGGCACCCACGGGCTCCATGTTGGGGAGTCAAGAACTAGAGATGTTGTGAATTAGACTGTGGACCTTCTGCATGCAAAGACATCCCATTTCTAGGTCAAACTTCCCTTCCACCTCTACCACCTTGGTTTTCTTGGGATTAAGTTTTTACTTGTTAGCCCTCATACATCCCAAAACTGCTTCCAGGCACCTGTTCACATTTTCCACAGCTTCCCTGGGATCTACTGGATATACAAGATAGAGCTGAGCATCGTCCGAATGTTGGTGGCCAATCCAGCTGTTGCCTGGCATGATAGTTTTCTGTCCACAAGCAATCTTGCTATCTTTTATGGAGAGGAGCATTCAGACAGAGAACTGCTCACCTGCAGTCTGAAGTGTAATGGCCCAGAGTCAGTTACTGTTGGACTATGCTAATTGCCAGGGCTTTTTTTGTAGAAAAAGTCCAGCAGGAACTCATTAGCACAATAGGCCACACCCAGCAGCAGAAACCTATTAGCATATTAGGCCCCACCCCTGATTGCACTACTCATTAGCATATTAGGCCACACCCCCGTGTTACCAGAAGTGTGGTCATCCAGCCACACCCACCTTTTGCTTCTTATTCTGTTTATCTTGTTTGTTGTCAAAACCCAGGTTTTTTTTGTAGCAGGAACTCCTTTGCATGTTAGGCCACACACCCCTAATGTAGCCAATCCTAATCAGTTTCTACTGCTGGGTGTGGCCTGTTATGCTAATGAGTTCCTGCTGGGTGTGGCCAACTTGGGAGCCAGCCGGAACTCCGTTCCTGCCCCAAAATAGCCCTTCTAATTGCATTAACTGGGGTTGATTTCCAAAAGCAAAATTAGAATTGTAGCCAGCATATAAACGCCAGGGTTTGACAACTATGCTTGGCCTGACCTCTGTACTTCTTGTTTTGACTTGTTTTTGTTTTGCTCAGGCATAATCCTCCCTTCTGTGACGTCTGCAGTTTATTTCTTCCTCTTCATGGGCTTGTGCTCCTGGTGGTCTTGCCATCGTCCAATCAGCCCCATCGTCTTCAATAGCTTGTGCGTGATGGTCGCAATATTCAACGCGGGTCATTTAACTGTCCTGTATCTGTACCAGCTGCCAACCATTCAGGGCCTCGTTCCTGCTGCAGATCTCTATGCCAGGTAAAAAGCTCTTGTTTGCATGCTGGAAAACCTGCCGCCTAAATAGAATCTGGTTAGTAGGGTTTGTTTCTAGGTGAAAAAAACAGAAATAGCATTTGAATTATGGAGAAAGGTTTGAAAAGAACATCGATTCACCGAGACAAAATACTTTATGATGTTCAGCCGTGTTGGTCTGAAGCAGTAGAACAAATTTAGAGTCCAGTGGGGCACCTTTAAGACGAACAAAGTTTTATTCAAGGAAAAGTTCAAACTTATAGACAGGGGCTGAACAGCAAATTAACATGTGACATGATGAACACGTGCAGAGACAAGCCCTGCCGGACAAGCTAAGGTTATAAGGTCAACAGCTGTAAAGTAATAAATATGTCAGAATAGCAGATAAATGTGTAAAGGTATCTTTTCTAATTCTAATTTATTTAATACATTCTAATTTATGATGTGAAATAGTCTGGCACAAGCTAGGGGCCTGGGAAGAATCATTGGGTGAATGGTAGGACTGGTTCCAGGTTTTGTGGGGCCCCGGGCACGGAATATCCAGGGGCCCTCCTTTTTTCCTCTGTCTACCACCAGGACATCCATTCATGCCTTCCTTCCACACAGCCATAGCTCTACATGCCTATGTTTCCTTCCTTCCTCTGCCCACTTGTGAGCTTTTCTGCTGACCATATTCCCTAATAGTGCTGGGTGATATGTGCTGATCACATATCTGCAGACCACAGTGCCTGCTGGAAGTCCCTGGCAGCTTGTGGTTAGGGGGCTCTGCAGTTGTGAGCCCTGCCAGAAACCCTGGGCCCAGGCAGCTGCCCCACCTCACCATATGCTGATACCAGCCCTGGTAGGTGGTATAAACAGTTGGGAAATCCGCTTCAAGCTTCAAGAGGGGACTGGATAAACGTATGGAGCAGAAGTCCATGTGAGTGACTATTAGCCACAAGATATAGATGGAACACTATGTCTGGGGCAGTGATGCTCCGTATTCTTGGTGCTTGGGAGGCAACAGTGGGACGGCTTCTGGAGTTCTGGCCCTGCTGGTACCTGGTTTTTGGCCACTGTGTGACACAGATTGTGAGAACAACCACCATTTCCAGTGAACAGTATTTACTCAAATGCAAGAATAGTTTTTTCACATGTATGCCATCAAAGAAAGGGAGGGTTGCCTTACATTTGCATACATGGTATAGTATTACCCAATAATAATTTCTTTTGTTATAAATTTTTATTAGGTTTAACATATTATAGGACATTTAAGTATAGGGGTAGGAAGGGAACAGGGTATGGGATAAGACATAAAGGAGAACTCCATCAGATTTGTATAACAGCGGTTACAAGTTTTCAGTCTTAATTCTTTGTTTCCCGTTCTGTTTCTTTGTAGAATTACTAAAGTTAATATCATTTAGTCAAATCGATAAAGTCTTCTGTTTTGTTTCCTAACAAGAGTCAAATTCTATATAGTTCAAGTTGCAGTCTCTCCAGATTTATATTATATATATTCATTGTTCTTGGTCTTCGAAGCTTCTTTCCACCCAGTCACAAAATAGTGTCCAGTTATTTCCCCAATAAATCATCTTCTTCGTCTTCCTCTTCTTCCTCTTCTTCTTCTTCCTCTTCCTCTTCCTCTTCTTCCTCTTCTTCCTCTTCCTCCTCTTCCTCTTCTTCCTCCTCCTCCTCCTCTTCCTCTTCTTCCTCTTCTTCTTCTCAGAATCATCTTCCTTTTGAGCCAGTACAGTACCTCATGGGTACAAATGTATATCACTTACAAATGTATATTCCTTCTGTGGTGTTCTGTTAGCACTTGCTCATTCGTACCTTCAAGTCATCTCTTGCACTTGCAGCAGTGAAATGATGATCATATGTATCTGAAAGTGTTTGTGGTGGTTTCCTCCTCCTGTTATCCTCTAAGAAAGTTAAGCGGAGCAACTCTTTCTCCATTTTGTTCTTCTCCAGGCTGCTGGGCGTTGTCCCGCTTATTAAGGCTGACATCACTGTACCCTGGAAGCTTCAAGTTCACCCTCAACTAAGCTGGCCGGCGGCTTTGAATCCTCTAGTGCTTCTCGTACTGTACTATACACTGGTCATGATGCTCCAGCAGTGGGCGCTGCCTGCAAAGGTAAGGGATGCATTAAAGAGCAAACCACACAAGTTAAGCTCTTGAGGCTTTGCCTTTACTGTGATGTAAACTCCAGGTTAACAGAATGGATTCTGGGCAATATGCAGCCCTTTCAATTTGTCATTTTTCATCTGTCTAATTAGCAACAGTAGATGAGCATAATATATAGTATATTTGAGTAGTGTAGTTTTTGGCCACAGGATTGGAAGAGGTCAGTATACATTCCAATCCCAAAGAAGGGCAATGCCAAGGAATGTTCAAACTATCGCACAACTGCACTCATATCACACGCTAGCAAGGTCTTGCTCAAGATCTTACAAGCTAGGCTTCAGCAGTACGTGGATTGAGAACTGCCAGAAGTACAAGCTGGGTTTCGAAGAGGTAGAGGAACTAGAGATCAAATTGCCAACATTTGTTGGATTATGGAGAAAGCACCAGAAAAACACCTACTTCTGCTTCATTGACTATGCTAAAGCCTTTGACTGTGTGGATCAGACATCAACATCCCCACCTGCAGAACTTATAGATAAGCATTACAGCAGCAAAGAAGCACAGAAGGAATGCATTGGCAATTAGAATACAACCAACCTCCCCACCCCCATGGCAGCATAGCTGACACTTGGACTGCAAGAAGATCAAATCAGTCAATCCTAAAAGAAATCAACCCTGACTGTTCCCTGGAAGGCCAGATAATGGAACTGAAGCTCAAATACTTTGGCCACCCAATGAGAAGGGAGCACTCACTGGAGAAGACCCTGATGCTGGGAAAGATTGAAGGTCAAAGAAGACGGGGACGGCAAAGGATGAGATGGTTAGACAGTGTCATCGATGCAACGAACATGAAACTGAGCCAACTTCAGAGGACGGCGGAAGACAGGAAAGCCCGGCGTGATCTGGTCCATGGGGTTGCGAAGAGTTGGACTCGACTGTGCAACTGAACAACAACAACACATATGTAACTTTTCATTTGTGTTCTGGGTTGGGTTTCCATGTCTCCCCTGGCCACTAGTGGGGGGTAGGGGGGTAGGGTTGCCAGATCCAGGTTGGGAAGCTCCTGGAGATTTTAGGGTGGAGACTGGAGAGAACAGGGACCTCAGTGTCTCCTTAAAGTAAATAAAATTAAATAAATAAAATCCTGTGTAGCTGAACAGGTATTACTGTATGTATTCTTCTCTCTTTCAAATTTTAAAAACAGGGTTGATTTTTAAGAAATCACAGTTCCGTTTGTGTAGGATGGTCTGTGTGACGGTAGTTTAAAGTTGAAAGTAGCAGACAGTAGCAGAGTACTTGTGGAAGAGTATTTACAGTTTATTTTACAGAGCTATATACATACATGCAGCTTTGTAGCAGTTCACAAGACTGACTGGCAAAGTGCTTTGGCCCTTGGACAGGCTGGGGAAGGCATGGGGAGGCATTTGAATGCCTCCCTGATCCTTCCAAGGGCCCCCCGGCCCGCCCACTTCGGAGTCGTCAGGGGGTCACTCTCCAGGCCTTCCCTCTGTAGCCACGCATGCAGAGGTTTTGGCTGTAGAGGTCTGGCCAGCTCTGAAGCCAGCCGGAACTCTGTTCCTGTGCGTTCCTGCCCAAAAATAGCCCTGATTGTACGTATTCTTCTCTCTTTCAAATGTTAAAAACAGGGTTGATTTTTAAGAAATCACAGTTCCGCTTGTGTAGGATGGTCTGTGAACTTTTTTGTCACTTACTGCCCTTTGTCTCTTTAACTTATAGGTCTCTTTCTCTCTCCCCTCCCTTGCTTCCCTTTCCTCTCTTCTTTAATACATCTGACTGCCAGCGAGACAGGTGCTACTGGGGTTCTTTATTGCAGCTGTGTTGAAACCTGGTTCTGCTGCAAAGTGGGTGATGCAACTCAGTTTCAGGAGCAAAAGTTGTGAGTGGGTGATGGAGAAACCCCTCTCCTCTCTGTAGTGTACTTTTCTGCTGACCTCTCCCAAAACACTTTTCTTTCCAAATGTCTCCCTTCTGGGTTCAGAGCCCCAGTTTAGGCACTAGGCTTCAAGCAGACAGGTGTGGACAGCGGCAGAGCAGTGCAGTTCTCGCTTGGATGCCCATTTTGCTCTCAAACTGGTGTCTTCCTCGCCACTTTCTAAACCATTGCAGCAAATCCAAGTTTAAACACAAGAATCTACAGCCACCATGTCTAATTTGGTCTGTTGCATCAAACAACGCGGGCTTTCTAGACCACGAACACTTATGCGGGAATAAAGGTGTTACTAGTTTTCAAGAATCCTGTTTGCTTTCTGTCCAGTGTGCAGCAGATGCATGGGATATTGTTTTCATGGGTCTTTTCTCTTCCCCTCTTAAAATAAACATATTGTTTAGGGAAGTAAGGGAGAGGCTACACGGCTGCAGTCTGAAGAGTACATTGAGGTGAAGGCGGATGCTGAGTTCTGGGTGACCACGCACAAAAGCATCAAGGTAAACTTGACTTCATCTTGGGCCTGCCTGTGTGGCAGGAAGTCACCCATGCGGTCCTACACAGAACAACATTGACTTCAGTTAGGTTTGCCAGCCCCAGCTTGGGAGAGGCCTGGGGAGGATGGAATTTGGAGAGGGGAAAGAGCTCCGCAGTTAAGTGCTGCCATGGACTCTGCCCTCTGAAGGTGCCGTTTTCTCCAGGAGGGATTTTATTTGTCATTTGGAGAACAGCTGTAATTCTAGAACTCCAGGCCCCGCATGGAGGTTGCCAACCCCAAATTCAGTCGACTTAGAAGGAGAAAAGAGCAAGAGTCCAGGAGCACCTTAATGACTAACAAAATTTGTGGCAGGGTAGGAACTTTCATGAGTCACTGCTCACTTCTTCGCTGCTCATGAAAGCTCCAACCCTGCCGCAGACTTTGACCTAAGGGACTGCTGAACTACAATCACGATCATGCATCAGTTTAAAGGTACAGTACTTCTTTTTCTACATTAGTACAGACTGGTTACTACCGTGTTTCCCCGAAAATAAGACACTGTCTTATACTTATTTTTTCTCAAGAAGACACACCAAGGCTTATACCACAAATGCATAGAAATCCTGCTAGGGCTTATTTTTGGGGTAGTTACTATATATTTTTCTATATACTCTGCTGGAGCAGTACAGTCTTTAAGGTGCTATTGGAGTCTTCCTCATTTCTGCTGCTACGGACAGACTAACGTGGCTACCCACCTGGACCTAGCAGGGTGTAACTCTGCTTAATATTGCACTTGAAAGCAGTCTCCATTCTTCTTTTAACCTCCAGGCGCCTTACATTCCAAGTGGAAGCTCTCAAGACATCCCCCTCTTGCAGTGTCGGAGCAGGAGCAGCAGTTGTAATCTGTACGCCTACACCAATACTGGGCACTGCAGTTCCATGTCAGGTATCTTTTGTTGTGTGGTTCAGGTGGAAGGGCTGAGTCTGAGGTGTGAGCAGTTTCCATCGCCAAGCATTGCAACTTGCCAGGGGGAAAGCTGTTGCAAGGATCATCTGAATTTTTCAAAGCTGTGGAAGTTACATGAACCAAGAATTTCAAGGCTCAGCTACCTGTTACCTGGGCTTTCTGCAACAGAGTTCATGAAACTTTAAACCACAATATATTTGTCAGTCTATGTGGTGCACCAGGTCTTTTTGTTGTTTCATGCCAAGGTAAGACATTCTGGGTGTTGGCAAACTGTAGATATGCAGTAAAAGGGAGCACAAGTTGTTAAAAGAATTAAGTCACTTTATTAAGAAGAGAACAAACTTTGTAAGAAAGAAGAGAGAGAAAGAGAAGTCTAACTGGCTAGGATGGAGCCCTAGAACCAAATTGAGGTAATCAGGAGAACCAAATTGAGCTAATCAGGAGACAGGAAGGAGAATATTTGAAAATAGTAGGAGATTCCTAATCCTACTATGCTATCTAGTTGTCCCCTCTGCTGCCCCCTGCAGGAAGTTCTTATCATCTTCTTTATCTATGCACAATAGACTTTGCATATTCCAACACTAGGCCTCACTTGGAGAAGTAGGTGAGCATTAGGGATAGGAGGAGGTGGAGACAGATAAGTGACCTGTTTAGAGGAACATCTAGATTTGAGTCCAGTAGCACCTTAGAGACAACAAGGCTTTCAGGGTATGTGCTTTTGAGAGTCAAAGTTCCCTTTATCAGATACGTGATGAAGGGAGCTTTGACTCTTGAAAATTCATACCGCGAAAATCTTGTTGATGTCTAAGGTGCTACTGGACTCAAATCTAGATGTTCTGCTACAGACCATCACGGCTACCCTCTGAAACTACTTAGCAAGAGGTAGTAATTCTCCCCTCTCCCCGCCATTTCTATCTGCTATCATATTTCCCTTTCCTTCTCTCTTTGTTGTACCTTTAAATATGTCTGTTCTAGTATTCAGAGGACTTCCCTATCTGTTTTGCAGATTCATTCATAAAAATAAAATGCTGTGCGACTTGGCTTGCAAAATCTAGAAAACATTGTTTTATTCAGTATCTGCCTGAGTTAATCAACCTTTCTGTTGAGATCTTTGTCTCAAAATTTTTCGTTCCCTGTAGAGGTTTCAGGAGCCCCTGACAATATGACAGAAATTGATGATGAACTTTGCATTGAAGACAACCAGCTCAGCACTTGGTCAGCACTGGCACATTTCCTGATGAGTCAGAGCTACATTACTGCTTTGATTGCCATGATGGTAAGAGACCGCTAATGTTCACGCAGACCACCACCTGGCTTTAGGGTTGCCAGCAGTGTCTCGGCAAATGCTGGGAGATTTTGAGGGTGGTGCCTGGGGATGGTGTTTTGGTAGGTTGTGACGTCACTTCTGAGTGACACTCTAGGAATTCCCTCTAATCTCTATGGTAAGGACAATAAAGGCATGGGGAAATTCCTGGAGAGTTCCTATGGCGGCCATTTTTTTCTTGCTCTCCTCAGTTTTTCTAGGGTGAGGAATTGGCAGGTTTACCTGTCCTTAGTGCTGTTCTGGCTAGGGACGCAGGACATGCCTGGCATGGACT